CGCGTTGCCATGTCAAACAGCACTCCATGTCTTATTCAAGCCGAACAGCAGCAGCCTTCTTTCTGCAACTGACTTATGAGCAGAATTAAAGTTTGGTTTTTATTTTATTTGCACAATTTGGATTTCTTTTCTTTTTTGAAGTAGCCATTACATTAAAATAAATCATATGCAAAATTATATGTGTCTGTTTTTATGTGCATTTTCCTGGGGAGGGTCCATAGCTGTCATTAGATTCTCAAACGGTTCTATGACTCAAAAAAGAACCACTGATTTAAATATTCCTTTTTATCCCTCCATATTCAGCTACTCAGTGGTAACTATCTCCCACTTTCCCAGACAATTTTCATACAGTTATTCCTGAACCAATTTGTGAGTGCTGTTAATCTAGAGGTGTAGTACCGGTAGCTAACAGTATCTGGGGCTATCAATTCACCATTGTCCCTTATTTGCTTCAAAATTTCTTTTTGTTTCCTGTCCTCTTATAATTCCATATGAAGTTGTTACACATATTCTGAATTTAATCTAACCACATATGATGCTCTGTTAATGGAATGGCAAGGGTGATGAAAAGACTTTTGGGGTAATATTTTCATTTTAATTACTGTGCCTATCCAAGACAAATTTTATTTAGAGCAGTTATGAAGCTCTTCTCGATTTCTGAACAGTTGGGTCCAAATTGTACTGCATCATTAGGTCCAGTTTCTCTGGAGAAACAATACCCAAGTGTGATGCCCCTTTCCACTCACACAGAGTTTCTACCACTGTCAACAGCCTCTCTCAGGTTCAGGGTACATGTAAGTCAGGACATCACACTCGCCATCCTTCTCTCTTTTAAAATATAGAGAGAGCCTTGACCATTTCCCCTCTCTCACTCACAGAGACATCTGCAGACAGGATACCCAGCCCCCTTCAAGAAGAGGCCCTCAGTTACATAGAGTTGTTGGGCTTGGGGGCTCAAACATGCTCCCATTCACATGCTGCCATCATTTATTCATATCCTATAATACATATATAGACCGAGATACATAGATACCGAGATATAAACTGAGTCCCTTAGACTCGTGGCCCATAGGGTTAAACAAAAGAAGAAGTTAACTTTTATTTATGGTATTAACACTGAAGAAAGTATGGTAGAAGTCACAACATTTAGCTTCAACTGAACTTTTGAACTGTTGTCCTGTCCCGACAGCTGGGATCCTTTGGTTATGAATTGACTGTTTTCAGCCTGCCAGAAGCAGCTTTTCTCCACAGTTTTACTTAGCAAGATACAGTCTTTCCCCTACCAACTCCCTAGCTGTCAACTCCCAATTGGTCTGTATGGAAGACAGATATTATTAGATACTTGGTGTGATGGACAGGCTAGAGCCACATATGTTATCCTCCTCTTCCACCTCAATTCCTAATTGCACTCATCTGACATGATTCACCTTATAACCTGAAATGTTGCCAAACCTGCCCAACGTCTTAGATTGGCAACAGATTTAAATTCCTGCATCATAAATACAACATCAGCATAGAGTAGCAATTTTGTGGCTGTTCATAAAACTTAAGTCCCCAGTGCCATTATTTCAACAGCCAAATTGAATAGCAGAGGAGAAAGAGGACATCCCTGTCCAGCTCTCCATGCAACTGACAATAGGAAGAGTAATTACCATTACTAATTTTCTTAGCTCTGGGGAATCTGTATGACATGTTAACCCATTTGCAAAATGACTGCCCCAAGCCAAAAGCTACCAGAACTTCCTGCAACTATAACCAATCCTGTGAAATGCTTTTTCAGCATCAATGAAATAAAGCACCGGGTCTTTTGATCCAATTAAATTAATTAGATTAGAAAATCATCTTACATTCCATACCATCAACCTTTCTTTTATGAAGCCTTTGGTCAATTCCCATATAGCTACCTAAAAAAACGATACTGATGTTAAACTCTTATAATCGCTGTTTAATAATGATATAGGTCAATATATGACATCCTGGGGTTTCCCCCTTCAGAATTAAAATTATATTAGCATCTGCTTAGGCTTCTGAAGGAATTCTTGTATTTTGCATCTATCTATAAACCTTCTCCGGGCATGAAATTATATCATCCAATGAGTTTTGTAAAACTCCTTTGTAGGTCTGTCAGATATTTACATCTTTTAAGATTCCTGATTGCTTCTTTTGTCTCCATTTTAGAGACTAGTTTATCTAAGAAATCGCCATGTTCTGTTATTAGTTTTGGAATTGTAATATTACTTATATAAATGCTCTTTCCTTCCATATTTCTGGTCTATATTCTGCATAAAGATTTTCAAAGAAGTGTTTTAAATTCAGTAATTTCTTGTTTTAATCTGGGTTATTACCCCATTAACATCTTTAATCTTTAATTTTTAATCACTTAACTGTGCTGAAGTTTCTCTCATTTATTGCCAAATTCAAAAATAGTTTGTTTAGCACTAAGTAAGGACCTTGCTGTTAAATGTGCATCTTGTAACTTCAATCCATCCTTTACTAATTCCAATTCATATTTATTGTTATCCAACTTGGTTAGTTTATGTCTGTTCTCCTTTTCTTTAAGTTTATTAACAATTTCCTTCCCTGTTTGTGTCTCTTTTTTAACATAACCTGCTTGAGTGATTTTTAAAAAAACAACCACTTCTAATATTACATTTTAAATTAATCCCAAACCATGTATCCAAAATCCTGTGTAACATTTATCTGGAAAAAGGATATAAACCCCACGTTTGATATCTTAACTCGTTTAATTTTCACTGTTCTTTAAGGTGAAATGCTAATATAACTGATATATTTCAGCATTTATCATAGGGCCTTCACTGTGTTTGTTCATCATTTCTAAAGATACAAACACAGTTTATTTGAGAATGTGTGTTTTGTAGGATTGCCAGCTTCCAAGTGGAGCCTGGGGATCTCCCACTTTTACAACTGATCTTGAGCTGACAGAGATCAGCTCTCCTGGAGAAAATGGCTGCTTTGAAGGCTGGACTGTATGGCCTTGTACCATGCTGAGGCCCCTCCTCTCCCCAAACCCCGCCCTCTCCCGGATCCACCCCCAAAGTCTGCAGGTATTTTCCAACCCAGACCTGGCAACCCTAGTGTTTTGCCTATGGAAAAAGTATAATCTTCATGTGTTCAAAATTTGCATCAATATAGATTAACATATTTCTTTTAGCCAATCTTCAGATTTTTCAGGAATTTTATTATAACCTAGGTTTGAATCAAATTCAAACCAGTGACTTTCACTCGCTGAGAATGCCCCAGCAAGTCACTTCTGTTCATGAAATGGAATAATAAATATTGTTTACATATACATCTATTTCTGAATCAGTCATGGCCCTGTTATGCCATCCAAGAATTCTTCTAATCCACTGGTCTGATTTCTGAGTGGCCTCATAGATATGCACACTACATTACAACTTTTGTTCATCCTTGAAAATAGGTCTATGACCTAAAATCCATAATATAGGCTTTTCTTGTGAGAAAATGGATTGTGTGTGCAAGCTGGGAATGGCCTATGAATATACCCTTCAGGGCTCTTTTTGTAGAAAAAGCCCAGCAGGAACTCATTAGCATAATAGGCCACACCCAACAGCAAAACTCATTAGCCTATTAGGCCACACACTGACATCACCGCTCATTAGCACATTAGGCCACACCCCCATGTTACCAGAAATGTGGTCATCCAGCCACACCCACCTTTCCCTTATTCTGTTTACCTTGTTTGTTGTCAAACCAGGGCTTTTTTTGTAGCAGGAACTCCTTTGCATGTTAGGCCACACACCCCTAATGTAGCCAATCCTAATTAGTTTCTGCTGTTGGGTGTGGCCTATTACGCTAATAAGTTCCTCCTGGGTGTGGCCAACTCAGGAGCCAGCCGGAACTCCGTTCCTGTGCGTTCCTGCCCAAAAACAGCCCTGCCCTTTGTGGTGTATAGTGTACTACATTTGCAAAATGGAGTTTTGAAGGAGAAACCAATAAAAAAGTAAGCAGAGATGGAAGCATAAGTGAGAAGAAAGTGACACTGTGTCTTATAAGTCAAGGAAAAGAGTTAGCAAGAAACAAGTCACAAAAGATGTGATGGAATGATGCTGTAGTTGATAGGACTGAAAATATTATTTTACCAGTAACCCTGTGTGCCCTGTCAACTGAGATATGGGTGTCCTGACTAGGGTTGCAGAAACAGAAAACTAGGTTTCTGTCCTTGGAGCAACCCCCCCCCAACAATCCCCCCCCAAACCCAACACAAAATCCTAATATTAAGTCATCCACTAACATTTTATAATGTTAGTTTTATAACATTATATGTAATGTTAGTTGAAAATGTTACTTGAAAAACAGCAGAATTGCTCCACCCAATTGGCAAAAAAAAAGCTTTAGCAGTTGTTGGCTCTTTATATGTACAGTGCAGTAATTAAATATAATAATTTGGACTGTGTTGAAGTGACCGTGTATATAAATGTGTTTGCCATCTGCTTGAATGAGTACTGGCCTATAATATCCACAGTGATTTATTTTTTTTTACTGTGTGACTGAACAACAACAACAACAAATTCAGGCTGTGGGTGATGGCTTGAATACTAAGGATTTATGAAAAGGGTGATTCTATCCTTTAAAAAAAATCATGTCCTGAAAAATTGTAGCTTTGTAATTTTGAATTGAGATAATATACTTGACAGCAATATACTTGACAGCAAACTCCTCTTGTTTTGAAGAAGTCCAAAAGTTATGGATCCCCGCTTGCGGGGAGGGCGGGGTATAACTATAATAAATAAATAAACTCATTGACCTTCCATGTGAAATTTAAACAGATAATTGCCTTCTTAAACGTATTTGAAACTATTCATGATGTTTATAAACACCTTTGCAAGACATTTTCTGTGAATCTAGCTTTCCATGTTAATGTGAACAAGATCTTGAGTATATCTTCTGCCCAACTGCAATTATTAGTGTTTCCTCCTTTTTGATGGCTGTGATGAAATAGTTTTGTGTATTTTATACAGATCGAGTGCTGGTTCGAATAAAGGACCTGACAGAAGAGAAGGCTGATGAAGTTGTTTGGGTTCGTGGCAGGATTCATACAAGCAGAGCGAAAGGTAAGATGTTTGGACTGGACTGTATATGCACGTGTGCTGTGTGGAGATCCCCCCCCCACAGTCAAAAGATTTGAGTACCCTCCTTGTCATGTTACCTTCAACGGCTGCTCTTGATCATTTGCAGTCCACCTCCCACACACACTGTAAAGAGCCCTGCAAGAATTGCTTTCAAGTAAGCAAACCCACCTGCACTGTTAAGCAGCAGGTTGAACTGTTTGCTTGTATGCAGACTGGCTGATGGGAAATACTTCAGCTGCTACTTAACATGTTAGGCTGGAACTGTTCTTGGGAAGAAGACAGACATGTTAGGCTAGAACTGTCCTTAGCAAGGAGATGGACTGAAGGGGGGGGGGAATCAAGTGGTAGCACGTGAACATTGCCTAGCAGCAGAACTGCTCATGGATACGTGCCATCTGCTTCTTGATGTGGCATCTCTTGGGAAGTTTTCTCAAGGGGAGAGTCTCCCAGCATGCCACTTTGAGTATCAGTCATGGACATTTGCTAGGGAGTGGGCTTTCTCACAGATAGGTGAAACAGAATATTAGTTTGTTTTGTAAGTATATGTGTTTGTAGATAGGCACTCAAGTTTGAATCTTTTAAAAAAGCAATTTATCTTTCTGGAAAGGCACTTAAACTAGACAAAATTTAAGAATCTTTTGTCACTGGTGTAAGACATCCATAATAAACTGCCTGCATGTTATATAATCCCGGTGTCTCTTAACTTTTTATGAGCTTAGTGTCCTGGATTGCTCTGAAGTTTTTCATGAGTATTATACATTTTAAATGCCCTTAAAGTACCACTTAGAAGTAAAATTGAAACCATGAAGCCATGCAGAAGTTTCAGTCATCAGGCACTCTAGAATTTCTTTACTCAAGCCGGATAATCAGAATATGGCTAACTTGTATTGCATCATGTGTTCTAAAGCAAATAGAAAACTCTGGAACGAATTGTGCTTTCGTGATGACATGAACTAAATATTTCAGTTCATTTGTTCTAAAAATGGGGAATTGCTTTTACAGTGGCCTCAAAGAAAACGGCTCTCTGAGCTTTGAGCTCTGTGGCTCGACTCATTCATACAGAGCCACCTGTCAGTCATTTTTCTTCACTGTGGATGCCCAGGTTCTCTGGGAGATCAATTTCCAGTGCACAGACTTAAGCAGGTTTTGACCTCTTCAGGTGACATCAAAGACTGACAGCTGTTCTGTTGACTTGAACTTTACTCGCCTCACAGGCATACTAGTTTTCTCTGGAACATAAAAAAAATTCTTGGAATAAAATGATACGACAGCAACCTAAGAAACTGTGCTCAGTCTCAAAATCTTTGTCTCTTTAATGCACTTGACTGTAACACTTTTGTTGGGGGGTGGGTTTCGCAGTTAGGGAGAAAAGGACACTAAATCCTTTGGCTGATTCAATTAGTATTTAGTTTTAGCTTCATCTTGTTGCAGTCTGGGTTAGGAAGTTATGACTGAAGAGCATCAAATTTACATATATTAGTAAAACTGAAATTTGAATTTAGAAGCTTTGTTGAATCTCCAGAGTCAGATACATGAAAGTTGACAGTCATATGAATGTGATTGTCAGCATTCATTTGTGAATATCTGAAACATGAGGTAATTATCTAATTTTCAAAATCCATGAAATACATTTAGATTGATGTAATTGAGATTAATGTTAATAAATGGAAATTTTGGACATTCAGTGTAACGTATATTTCCAATCAAGATGTCTTGTGGTTTAGATGTAATCATTACTCCTTAATCCATATATTTTGTGTTTTGAAGAGTATAAAACTCTGTGTTGGTATTTTTTCAGGGTGTTCTTTTCTTTGTGTTTTAAAGATGTGTTAACTGTTATCTATGAAATGATATAGGCCACTTGTGTGGGCTGCTAAGAGGACAAAGGGGAGGGGTGGAGTCATCAAGAATTAAAATGAAGACCATACTTGAATAAATAGTCTTGTCAACTTTGAGGAGAAAATCAAGTTCCATACTTTTTGTTTGACAAATCTGTGTCAGAACAAAGTGGAATGGATTGCAGCTGAGGCACCTAGGTATGGCCTTGGCCGTGACTGATGCTGGCCTCCTCCACTGTCTACAGGAGTCAGGACTGGACATAATGACAATGCTTACATGGTACTTTACATGGCTACCCCATGTTTAGGTATTGTTATGGAATTAATTGTTGTGCCTTGTGCCTTCATCCCACATTCCACATTATTGGCTGCTACAGGGTGTATAGTGTGCGTATATAGGAATGTCTCCCATTTCAGTATCTGCACATTATTGCAGACAAGGGCTGTCCTTGAAAAGTGTTCAGAAACGTCAGTTGGTACAGAACGCTGCACACAGGATGTTGTCTGGAGTGGGTTGTAGGGACCAGATCACTCATAAGAACATAAGAGATGCCAATGTTGGATCAGGCCAAAGACCCATCCAGTCCAACACTCTGTGTCACACAGTGGCCAGAAATACCAGTGCCATCAGGAGGTCCACCAGTGGGGCCAGGACATTAGAAGCCCTCCCACTGTTGACCCCCCCCCAAGCACCAAGAAGACAGAGCATCACTTGCCCCAGAGTCTGTATCTATACCTTGTGGCTAATAGCCACTGATGGACACTCCAGTTTTGGCCCACATATACTGGCTTCCAGTTGTTTCTAGGCACAGTTCAAGGTGCTGGTCTTGACTGTCAAAGCTCTATGTGGTTTGGGACTTCAATACCTGAAGGACTGCCTAATCCCTTAGAAACCTGCCTGATGATTACGGTCATCTTCGGATGCCCCTGCCTTCTGAGATTAGGTGGGTGGCAACCCGGAAGTGCCTTCTTTATCATGGCACCAAAGCTCTGGAACTCTCTCCTCAGGGAGATTCATCTGTCCCCTTCTGTTGCCGTCTTCCACCAGCAGGTGAAGATGTTCTTGTTCATTTGGCATTCCCTCAGTGACCCCTCCTTCCTAACCAATGTTTTATGTTTTGTATTTATTTTAACTATTTTACATGTATTTTAACTCTGTTTAACTCTTTTTAAGGTTGTTTTAATTAGGTATGTTTGGGAGTTGGGTTTAGTTTAATGGTTTTATGATATATTTTACATGTACTAGCCTGATACCCGTGCTTCGTTCTGTAAATCCAGTTATAATACTGATGATGTGAAGGTTGAAAGGTAACATTTGTTGTAGGGATTCTAATGGAGAAGATTGTAGTGTAAAGGATGAAGCGAGACATACGCACTGGTTTTTTTCTCTACCGAAGGACCTCTCTGTAGACCACAGTGGTGGTTCTGCCCTCAGTTGCTAGGATCACCAGGCTGCTTGGTGAGCTCACTCTGGAGCAGGCTCCTAGAAAGTTCCTTTACTATCTCCCCATGAACATTCATGAACTCAATTGCCATGCTGGCTGTTATGAGAAATGTATATTCAGAAGTCTTGAATTGCTGATTTCTGTAACTGTCCTCAACTGTCTGCAGTCTCTTTTAACTGTGTTTTTACCTCAGAACATTGAGATCCACAGCTGAGGAATCAGAGGGTGGTGGGTGCAAGCAGGCAGGTTGTACCTCAGAACTCTGAGCTACACAGTTGACCAATGGGGGGGGGGGGTAAAGAGGCAGCAGCTTGCCAGGCACATGGAAAACAATCAGGGGAACACATTTTGCCCCTTTTTATCCCCTTATGGGTCGTGTTTCTCAGAAAACTCTTCATAGTGGGGGTTGACGTCATGGTAGGAATGCACTCCCCTTATTTTGGGTTTCTTGGTGCAGGGATTTGGCTTGGGCATTGAATTTGGGGGGGGGGTGCAGGGCATTCTTTTGTCTCTTTTTTTATAAAAATGCTTCTCATTTATGTTACATTTTAAGAAGTGGGACATAACTACGTATTCAAAACAACATCTGAGCAATCAGATATTGAGCAAGTTCATATGAACCAATTTTCTAGAACCCACATTGTGAGAAGTTAAATAATCTAATACAGGAAACCACTTTTCTACAAATTTGGGGTATATTTCCATAGTGGGTAGGGGTGTGGGTAAGCTGGGCCAGCAGCATCGCTAAGGTGATCCTGCTGGGGTGGCCTCCCTGATGGATTAAAGTACCCTGGCTCTGCTCCTAAACCTGAGAAACACCTGCCTGTCTGGTGTAAGGGGGGGATTGTGTTTAAAGGCATCAGGGAGGATGGGCAAGCAGAAGTGCTAAGGAAATTCTGCTAAGCCTCCCTGATGGCTTTAAGAACTCCACGCCCCTTCCAACCCTTGACAGACAGCTGTCTCTCAGATGTAGGAGGGGTAGCGTGTCTGAAGGCATCGGGGAGGCTGGGCCAGCAGGAGATGCTGCTTGGGCAGCCTCCCCAATGGATTTCAATGCTCTGCCCCTGCTCCTGCACCTGACAGTCAACCGCTTGTCAGGTGGAGGAGGGGTGTGGGAGTGTGTCTAAAGCCACTGGAGAGACTGGCCCAGCAGCATTGCTAAGGTGTTTCTGCTCAAGCAGCCTCCCTGATGGATTAAAGTACTCTGGCCCTGCTCCTGTACCTGACAGACACATGCCTGTCTGGTGTTGGGGGGGAGTGTGTTTAAAGGCGTCAGTGAGGCTGGGCCAGCAGCAGCGCTAAGGCAATCCTGCTGAGCAAGCCTCCCTGACAGCTGTAAGCATCCCACCCCCTCTCCTATACCTGACAGGCAGCTACCTGTCCAGTGTAGGAGGGGAAGGGGTATTGCAAGCCATTGTGGAGGCTGGGCTGGCTCCCTGATGGCTTTAAGCACCCTGCTGCTGCACCTGACAGACAGCCGCCTGTCAGGTGTAGGAGGTGGGGTGTGTGTTTGAAGCCACGGGAAGGCTGGGCCAGCAGCACTGCTGCCCCTCACAGGTGGTTAGCCATTCCTGATTTCCTCAACTGTCATCAGCTCTCTGCAGTCTCCTGTAACTTTTTACCTCAGAACTCTGAGCTCTGCAGCTGACCAATCAAAAGGTGGGGGGTGCAATCAGAAGGTGGGGGGTGCAAGGAGGCAGTAGCCTGGCAGCCACATAGGAAGAAGAAGGAGAAGCGATTGGATTTATACCCCGCCCTTCGCTACCCAAAGGAGTGTCAGAGCGGCTTAGAAACTCCTTTCCCTTCCCCTCCCCACAACAGACACCCTTTGAGGTAGGTGGGGCTGAAAGAGCTCTGACAGAAACTGCTCTTTTTCAAGGACAGCTGTGCCAGAACTATGGCTTACCCAAGGTCATCCAGCCAGGTGCGAGTGGAGGAGTGGGGGAATCAAACCCGGTTCTCCCAGATTAAAGTCAGCGCACTTAACCACTACACCAAACTGGCACCAAACTATACCAAGCAATGGGGGGGAGCACATTTTACCCCTTTTGACCCCCCTAGGGGTTGAATTTCTAAAAATCCCTTCTTAGTGAGCATCTACGCCATGGTAGGAGCGCTCTCCCCAAATTTGGTGTTTCTAGGTCCAGTGATTTTATGGTGAGGGGACTTCCTTTTATATAGAGAGATGTGTTAAATTGCTAGCCACCTTGGTGGCCCTTGTAAGGACAGAAAAGTGAGATACAAGTTTTGTTAATAATAATAATGATGATGATATTATTTAACAGAGGGTTACTGCTTTATGGAAACCTGCATTTATAACTGTACCAAGTTCTACCCACGGTCTTGAAGCACCTTATTACTTGTGTAGGAAAGTACTTTGTCATTATAAACCAGAACAAAACTGAATCAGTTACTGTTCATAGAAGAGGTATAATATGAGTAGAGAATTTAAAGGGTTAATCGATAGATTTTCTTTATCTAATAAAGTGGGATCCCACCTATGGTTTCCTCAAGCACAAGGGAGGAGTGGCTGCAGTTACACGCGCAGTTTGTGGTGCTATAGTGGCATTACCTGAGTGGAATAAATGGGCCCGTCCAGACGAGGACATCTGCGTCCCGTGGCACAGTCGTCGGCAGCCCATGCTGTTCTGCAATAACTGTTCCAGAATAAACAGATACTAGGGAAAGTCCAATATTAACGGATTGTTCATGATTCCTTCTGGGTTTTCCAAAGTCTCCTGCAGCAAAAGGAGCCCAGAAGGGACATCTGAATTTGCAGATCCATTTCCGCCACTGTTTATGCGCATCCATCCGCCTCCATTTAAATAAAACCCACCCTTACAGCTCGTCCTGTGGTTGAAGCACAACACTAATGTGGGTGTTCCCCCATGGGACGGCCATGCGGATAACTTGCCACAGGGTGTGCAGTCTGGATGAAATGCTCTGCTGCACTTTGAACCGGTACAATTTGAGGCACCACCATACCATGCCAAACCACCAGTGCATAGCCACCGGATTTTCTGAATGGCCCTAGGGTAGGGGCTACTTCTCAGCCTCCACTAGCTGATTGTGCAGGTAAATTGAATGTGCCGGTAAACGCACTTTTGTGCAGGTAAATGTACTGCTTTGGCCTCCATGAAGAAGGGGTGGAGTTAAAATGTGGGAAATTTCTCATGTTAAGGTGAGCTGTGTGTTTTCTCTCCAACAAGGTTGAAACCTAGACAACTCTTCTTGCAAAGAGAAATATAGAATAATTAATGTAAGACAGCTTCTTTTGATTGACAAGGTTTTGACATAACCTTATTGTCTAATATCTGGGTCATTTCTGTAGTGATAACACTGCTATAAACCAAACAACCTACTTTTTTAAAGCCCTAAAAATGCTTCTTAGGTACACACAGTGGGATTTTTTACATTCCCTTAGGATTTCTCTCTTCTTCTGAGCAGTATGCCAGTCCGTGCTATACCACAGTCTGATTTTTATCATGACTCAAAAGAGGTGGAAAGGGCCTGCCGTTCAAGCAGCACAAGTTCAGATTTGCCCTTGTGGTGCAGAACTTTTGGGGGTTTGTCAACTACCTGGCATAACCCATAGTGGACAATTTATACAAAGCCCTTCTGTTCCCATTCTGTTTTTCAGCTTGCTGCATATGCCAGTAAATCTGAAATTAGTTTTTAAAGGATGTTTTAAAGGCTGCACGTGCCCATCTGTATTCTTCACTGTGTGATTGTTTTACGCTCTGGCTTCATCATAAAGCCATTCAAAAAAACTTATTTTTGTATTCATTCAGAAAGATCCCGAGTAACTTGTCCTAACTGCACCTGCATTGTTCCTTCCTCTTTCTTTTCAGGGAAACAGTGTTTCTTAGTTCTACGTCAGCAGCAGTTCAATGTCCAAGCTCTGGTGGCTGTGGGGAGCCATGCAAGTAAACAGATGGTAAAGTTTGCTGCCAAGTAAGTATGCAATTATATCCTGTTATCACAGTAAACAATGGTGGGAACCCTTGCTCCCAGGGGTTGGGACCATTTTCACACATCAACATAATGCTGTGTTTGTTTTTAAAAAGGAGTTATTTAAATTGTCATTTCACTACAGTGCTGCTGAATGCCTGATACTTACAAAAGATCAAATGGAACACAGGCTTGAAATTCATTCTTAGCTGCCAAGGAGCATTCTGTCGGCAGACAGCTTCCATTTACTTTCAGGCTAGCTAGCAGAAAGGTTGGCAGGCTGAACTTGGAGACGTTTTGTTGCATGGGGGGGGGGGCAGTGAAAGCACAGCTGTTTTTTTCTTAAATATTGGATCTTCACTGTGTAATGTTCTGACGAATGAAAATACAAAAAAAAAGAAGGAGGAGGTCAGTATTGTAATTCTTTTTCCTTGGACTGAAAAGTGTTAAAAACATAATTTGTCCTTAGTCTTACTGTCACTAAAAAGTGTTTTGTTTTTGTTTTCTCCTCCAATTTTTACTTTTGTTTGAGCACGAACATACTCAAAGCTGCTTGTTTAGTCAACAATTTTCACTGTGTTCAGTACCGATTAAAAGGTTCCAAACAGTTGTCACTTTTAAAAAGAAGGTATCTTATCCAAGGTAGGCTGAATATTATCTGGGGGGAAAGTCCTGGATCACAACAAACTATGGCAGGTCCTTAAAGAGATGGGAGTACCAGACCACCTCACATGTCTCTTGAGAAACCTGTATAAGGGCCAAGAAGCGACAGTTAGAACCGGATATGGAACAACTGATTGGTTCAGCATAGGAAAAGGAGTACGACAAGGATGTATACTGTCACCTTGCTTATTTAATATATATGCAGAGTACATCATGCGAAATGCTGGCCTGGATGAATCACAAGCGGGAATTAAGATTGCTGGGGAAAAGATCAACAACCTCAGATATGCAGACGATACCACTCTGATGGCAGAAAGTGAAGAGGACCTCAAGAGCCTCTTGCTCAGGGTAAAAGAGGAGAGCGCAAAAGTGGGCTTGAAGCTCAACATCAAAAAAACTAAGATCATGGCATCCGGCCCCATCACTCCTTGGCAAATAGAAGGGGAAGTCGTGGAAGTAGTGACAGACTTCACGTTCCTGGGATCCCAGATCACCGCAGACTGTGACTGCAGCCATGAAATTAAAAGACGCCTGCTCCTTGGGAGGAAAGCGATGGCGAACCTAAACAGCATGATAAAAAGTAGAGACATCACCCTGCCAACAAAAGTCCACATGGTCAAATCAATGGTATTCCCAGTAGTCATGTATGGCTGCAAGAGTTGGATTATAAGGAAGGCCGAGCGCCGAAGAATAGATTCTTTTGAACTATGGTGCTGGAGAAGATTCTTGAGTCCACTGGACTGCAAGAAGATCACATCAGTCAATCCTAAAAGAAATCAACCCTGACTGTTCCCTGGAAGGCCAGATAATGAAACTGAAGCTCAAATACTTTGGCCACCAAATGAGAAGGGAGCACTCACTGGAGAAGACCCTGATGCTGGGAAAGATTGAAGGTCAAAGAAGACAGGGACGGCAAAAGATGAGATGGTTAGACAGTGTCATAGATGCAACGAACATGAAATTGAGCAGACTTCAAAAGACGGCGGAAGACCGGAAGGCCTGGCGTGATCTGGTCCATGGGGTCGCGAAGAGTCGGACTCGACTGTGCGACTGAACAACAACAACAATTAATGTCTTCCAGTAAAGCTGAAATTATACAGCCCCCATCCGGTCAAGTCTCTTGCCTCCAAATCAGAGTTTAGAGGACAGTTCTTGGTTACTACAGTTATTAGTTACTACAGTCATCCCAATTAGCCTGCAACAACTGAAAGTCATCCAAGCAAGTGCAACCAGACGGTTCTGTAGGAACATATTACACTTCTATGCATCCAGAATGTAGTCTTAAGCTGGATCAGATATGAGCCATTTTTATCAGCAAAGTGTGTGAAAAATGCCCTGACCTGGATGGCCCAGGGCTAGCCCGATCTTGTTGGATCTTGGAAGCTAAACAGGGTCAGCCCTGGTCAGTAGTTGGACAGGAGACCACCAAGGAAGTCCACAATTGCTGCACAGAGGCAGGCGATGCCAAGCCCCCTCTGCTCCTTTCTTGCGTTGAAAACCCTATAGAGTCAGCATAGGTCAGCTCTTTCCACCACGGTTTGGGAAAGTAAGCCAAGATTATCTGTCGGGGTTTGCTGTTCTTCACCCTGGTTGCCTGTATTCTTTCTTTTTCTGTTCCTTACTGCTCCAAATATTTGTATGTATGCCTTTTTCCTGTTGTTAAGGTTAAAGCAGTGAGAATTATTAGGCTACTTATTGTACTTTTTAAATATTCTTAATTGAATTTCAGTTCTGATCCCTTGTGTGGCAAGGGGGCATTCTTAGGTAATCTAACAGAAATATTTATCTAATTTTAGTACTTCCACATTTAGAATGTGGGTGCACCTCCATGGCAAGACTGTGTTCAGTGTGACATGCTTGAGATACTGTTGTTCTGTCTCTTGAACAGCCTTCGTGCCTAGAGAATGAAGTCCTGGTCTAGATAAACACTGCAAGCACGAACATGGTGATATGATGCAGAAGGAAAGAGATGCATTGCTCACATTGGAAAAGTTCAAAATGGCCCAAATATTTCTTCTGCTGTCATAAATTCAAGCTGCTGGGAAACAACACCCGGTGCAGTAGTGTTCACTGCTAGCACTTACTATAGAATGGCATTTACAGGTGTTGGTATAAATTGCTCTGTTCTTTTAACAGTTTAAAGGTCCAGTTTTGTTGTCGCTTTCAGATAACTTAATTGGAGAAAAGGTGGTGTCTTGTCTTCAGTTTGTTCTCTCTACTTGGTCTCCTTAGCTCTTTGGCTTCTACTGTGTTGTGAAGTCAATCCTTGATTGACCTTTCTAATGGCTTCAGCATCTCTTTTCAGCTTCTGTGATCTTCTGTATACCAGGCATCTACTATTTTATCTCCTGTTCCAGTCTATGTTCTGGAGCCTTTTCTAACAAAGCTGTGTATTTTGCTTCTAATTATTAATTTGTCATCTCTGTGGGCCCTTTTTGTAGCAGGAACTTCTTTGCATATTAGGTGACGCACCCCTAATGTAGCCAATCCTCCGAGAGCTCCTCTTACAGGGGCTACTGTAAGCTCTTGGAGGACTGGCTACATTAGGGGTATGTCGCCTAATATGCAAAGGAGTTCCTGCTACAGGCAATTTTTTTGGCTGTCTGTTTCTCAGAATGTTTTTTCCTAACGCAGAATGTATTCTACTTAAACACCACGTGCCAACCTAGCAGTTCGAAAGCAAGAAATTGCAAGTAGATAAATAGGTACCACTTCGGTGGGAAGGTAACAGCGTTCCGTGTGCCTTGGTGTTTAGTCATGCCGGCCACATGACCACGGAAACGTCTTCGGACAGCGCTGGCTCTTCGGCTTTGAAACGGAGATGAGCACCGCAACCCTAGAGTCGGATTCGACTGGCTTTCGAGCAAGGGAACCTTTACCTTTACCTATGCTTTGTAGGAGACTTTAACACTGATGCAAACAAAAACCTGCCGTACTTTTCAGTAAATAGCAAGATGACAGTTCTTGTTTTCAATATTAACTCAGAATGATTACTTCCTTTTCCCCTCCTACTGTTGCTAACATGGATTAGAGTCTACTTTTCCTATATTTAACTCAACATGTAGATGAAACAGCTATAGGCCTTGCAAAGTAACATCAAATGTATTGACTCATGTCATTATTTGAATAAGTGGAACGTATCTGGTATGAAACTCTGCAAGTAGTATAAATTATAGATTTTATTATCTATTTAATATTTTCCCCTGCCTTTCTTCTTGGCAGATAGTGGTTCTCAGGCCATCCTGTCCAAGACAGTTACCTGGTCTAGATTGGCTGAGCTTCAGCAAAATCATTCTCTGGGGGTTCTGACTGTACTAATAGATGACACACTGGGGAATTTCACATTACCCAGTTTCATCCGGTTTCAAGCCGGTAATCATCCGTTTTGAAGTAAACTGGTACAGGGCTGCCATTTCACACATGGCTTGCCCCTACCGGAAATGAGCCAGATCAGAAGCAGTTTGGCATTTCAGACTTGCACCGCTTTGTTTTCCTGCCATTTTCTTCCCGCGCGGGTGATCGATTTTTTTTAAAAAGTTCGATTTATAGCGTTATAGCGATATAACGCTATACCGGAACTCCAAACGATCGCAATAGCGATCCCATTGGAGTTTGAAGTTCCGTTATAGCGATATAACGCTATAAATCAAACGTTAAAAAAAAGAGCGCACGGGCGAAAAACGGCGGGGGAAAAGCGTAACAAAATTGGGAGAGGGAACTGAAGACTACTCGGAAGCGGTTGACAGGTAAAACGCTTCAGTCCCGGTTCCTAAACAGGACAGAAGCTTTTGTGTATGAAATGGCAAATACATTCCGGTAGGGAACTGATTCTCAAATGGGTTCTGTCTGAAATGACAGACCAGAACCCGTTTAAGAACCGGTTCCCTACCGGGAGATATCGCCTGTCTGTTTCTTGTTGCCCTTTATGGCCAATCAAATAAATGTATTATTTTTTGAAAGGGAAGAAATTTTCCTGTTAATTTCCTTTATGAGCTCTAAATCTATGTACAAAAATGGGTGCTTAAACAAATTAGCAAATCTATGTGAAATGAAAGTGTACCTGTTTACCTGCAAGTAACAGACTTCAATGGCTTTTATTCCCAAGCCTCTGCGTAGGTTTTGTTGTCTGTGATCATAATCCTGGCATCTTTTCTCCTTGTGTGTTTGCGCTTGGGCATACTCAGTGAGGCTTTGGCTTGGATCTCACTTGAAATGTCCATGGATAAAAGGATTTTCGTCCATGGAGCCCAACTTTCTCACCTCTTCCTGCTGCAGCTCAAATTCCCCCATATGATGCTGACGAGAGACCTCCAGAATAGTTTGGGGGAGTTTGAAGTCTG